TCCATACCAAAAATGTACAAAATGTTTCGAAAGTTTTTTTCGCTCGCGTATTTTAAATCATTTTAATTATTAGAAATTTTTAAGCCAGTCTTTGGATACAACTTAATAAATATTATAGTAAACGTTTTAAACATTTTGCTTTCTTGAAGCTTGAATATGAGTTTTCTACCCAAGTTGGCTTCAAAAACATTTTTTTAATTTTTAAAAATATGTTTCTTTAAATTTTAGTATTTTGACTAAAGAATAAAAAATGTTTCAAAATTTTTAAAATATTTTTCATGTTTTTTAAAAATAGTTTTCAGTAATTTATGAAAAATTTTCCACTTTTGTTTTCAAAGTTTTCCAAAATTTTAGCATTATTAAATTTTTTTAAATGATTATGGAATTTTTTTCATAGATCTAAAATTTAAAAAAATTGTAATTGTATTTCTTTTGTCTTTTGAATAACTTTACAATATAATAATATATATATGATCGTACAATTCTGGGCTTTTGGCCAACTTTGTTACCCTAAACCCACCATGAATTATTGACTCGCACAAGTTTGTGGCTGAAACACGTTCAATGTTCTATCGGCTGCTTCTTCTTCTACAATTTCCAGCTGCTATCGCAGCCATGTTAGCGAATTGACTCATCGAGCCATTATTTTGCTGTTGGCCCAATCGCATGGAGCTCGAGCTGGCGCTGGTCAACAGGTTCCTTTGCGTGCTGTTGGCCACGAAACGTTTATCCAACAAAACAATTTGAAATGCATTTTGCGCATGTGCCAGCAGACATGACAAATTCGCAAATTGGCCGAGCAGAGCGACGCCGACGTCGGCGGCGCTGTCGCTGCTGTCACACACTCACCCAGATACCGACACTAGCGACGTTTATTACAGTTACTTCAATCAAAAAGGCAAAACACGGGCTACTCGTCTTGCAGCCAGGCAACTGATTGCTGCCAATTGTTGTTGTTGCTGTTGCCAGCAATTGTTGCTGCCGTGCAGTGGCAACAATTGCTGCTGCTACTGCTGCTGTTGCGCAATCGTGCGGTCAGCGGATCAACTGTAAAAACGTGCAACGTTTAGTGTTTAGGTGAGAAACGAGCGCAGTAAACGACGACGACGACGATGACAACGAAGAAGAAGAAGAAGAAGCAGAAATATCAGTGAAAGTGCGAGCGACACACGCGGCGTATGAGCAATATTTTAATTGCTACTGTTTCACACGTCGTCGCGCCTGTTGTCGTCGACTTTGTCTTCGCCTTCTTCGTCGTCTTCTCCTCCTTCTCCTGCTGCGGCGTCGTCGTTGCCATTGCCAAAAAGACCAGAAGCACTTTTTTAAGGCTCTCGCGTTGATTGAATTTCTGTTGTTGTTGTTGCTGTTGCTTTTGCTGTTTTTCTTGTGTTTCTTTTGATTACGTTTTAATTTACAGCTGCCACGCCCCCTTCGCCGCATACCTGTAGCCAATTTTGTTAGCTATTTGGGTTTCGGTGTCTGTTTTATATATTTTTATGGCATCTCTATATGCCAGCACACATATGTGTAGTTTTTATAGCCCGCTCGCGATATGAACAGCTATGATTAACATTATTGTCTGCTTCCTTATTTTAGCTAATTAACTGCACGACGGCTTTCTTTCAGCGAATTGCGGCTAATGTGGGGGAAAGACAGACAGAGATGGAGACAGAGGCAGACAGAGAGAGAGAGAGAGAGTGAGAGAGAGACGCATCTCTCTCTCTCTTTCAGTTGAAAATATGTTACAAAGTCGTTGGGCGTGGCGTGGCGTGAAGTGTTTTTTTTTTAGCTATTTTTTCACTTTCGCTGTTACAGTTTTTCCAGTTTTCCAATTAAACTATTGCAAAATAGGCTTTAGCCACGCTTTTGGCGTTTGTCAACACTAATTTGGCATTTATAATAGAGGAACTAAGTGTTGAGCAGACAAATTGGAGATGTAGCGGGGGTTTGGGTTTGAGTGTGGGTAGAGAGTTAAGGAACAGTCACTTGCAGGCAATGCCACTCTATGTGATTCTCAAAAAATCAGAAAAACTTCATAGCGCATAGAGCAAAGTAAAGACAGAGGTAAGAAGAGAGGCAGAGACAGAAATAGAGAAAAAGTGAATAAAAGACAGAGAGAGAGAGAATAAATTCATTATGACAAAAGATAACTCCATATCTTAACTTTTAAATAGTCGAATCTTTTGGAATCATTAAAAAACACAATGAAATTTGACATTTATAAATGCAAAAGAAAGCGTTGATTAATCGAAAAGCCGTTACAAAATTAGACTTAACTTAGCCACGGAAATTTCACAGTTCATCTATGCAAAAAAAAAGACAAATGTTGGCCAAAACCAATTAAAAAGTTAACCATAGATTGACAAACCAGCTCTTAGGCCGACTAAGCTTGACTTTTTATGCTAACGAAACCCGGAAATCAAATGAAAAATAAAAAAATGGCCAACACATTTTCCCACACATAATTAATTTGATACACCGTACAAATGAAAGAAGGTAAATTAAAGCAAGCAAAAAAAAACACAAATTAAACATAAAAAGTGCTTCAGCAAATAAAAAAACAGCGCTATGCAAATGAGCGCGAATGCGGAATGAATGCAATGCACAACAACAACAACACGGACAACAGCAACAATCACAGTTACAACAACAACAACTAGCGACAACACAACAATCGAAAGTGTTACACTTTCTGCACTTCAGCAAAATGCAGTGAAACAAAACAAGAGCCAACGGAGCCATAAACGAGTGCCATGTAATATACGAAAGCAAAAAGAAGAAATAAAGCAACAACAGCATTGCAGTAAAAATTACCGCAATTGCGCCATCGACGCAACGCATGCGCCAACAGCTAAGTCGACGTCGACAGCGCCGCCGAAACAGGTGAAAGGGGCGTGCATGCAGCAGCGACTGCGACTGAGCGAGCGACAGCGGCAGCAAAATACATACGTGCCGAATACGCTGCCTCAATTGTTGAGCTGGACTCAAAGCAAAACGGCAAAAAAAAATCGCTTGCATTGCATAACATTTACGAGCTAGCTGCAAAACTAGCTGTAAAAAAAATGCTCAGCCAAAAACATCATATTCTACAAGCGTTTCGGCTGATCTAGCTGCGCAGTCAACAATCACTGCCAAACACGCTTCTATACACACTATGTTACTTCACTTGGATGTCAATGTCAGGGGTCTTTGCTGTCTCGCTTGTGTTCTACTTTTGCGCTTAGAATGCCGTTTCGCATATATTGCTGGCGCGCAGTTATTGTCTTTCTCTCGCTCGCACTCTTTCTTGCTTTCTTTGCTGTTGCTGTTGGTGAGAACTGGTTTTCATTCAATTTGGTTGGGTTTTTCGGGGGTTTTTGTTTTATTGTTGTTATTTTTATCTTTGCTGTTCATCCGCTCAGTTGACTTGTTTGCACTGTTGTTGCTGCTGCTGCTGGTTGCAGGAGATTTTACTCTCACTTTCATTTTATTGCGCACCATGCTTAAAATGCAGTTCAGCGAGCATTGATGGGTGGAGGAGGGTTAGGGCAGTCGCTTTTATTGCCTCGAAACGGATGTGCGATCGATATGAAGTCGCAGCAAACTGAATGTTAAATTTATAACAAGGAAATTTTTTGGAAGAGGACTTTGTTTTGGCAGAAATTTTTACTGATTTTATATATATCTTTAAATCCAAATAACTTAAATTAAGTTTATTACCTACCTGTAGATGTCTCTTAAATACAAAAATCGTTTATGGTCTATTCTGCAGACGCTTAGCTAAAATATTTAAAATTTTTATTGGTATAAAACCTTCCCGGTTGTCACAGCTCCACTTAAAAATACGCAAATATTAACAGCAACAACGACAACTATAACAAAACGCAGCTTCATACTAAATGGAAACAGCAAAAGTGAAAGTTTAATGTGCCATTAAAATAATAATAAAAAAACAAAAAACCTACATCAAAGTCCACTAAAAATTGTGACCAACTTGTCCATTAGCACAACAAAGGCCCAGGCCAGAGGCTAACAATTTATAGAAATAATATTAATAGTAATAATAATAACAGAAAACGACGCACACAAAAGGCCAACAAATTATGCCCAAAAAAAAGTGAGCTTTATTTTCACCTCAAACAAAAAAAAAACGCTATAAATTTTGTTGTCGTAGGCCTGGGTGCGCGTTTCTAATGAAAGTGATACAAAAAAGCCAAAAAATAAAATGAAAAAAAATAAATAAAAAAAATAATCATAGCGGAAACCAAATGCAAAAAAGTCACGAAAATTATGCAAATTATTTTAATTACAAATGAGAAACTACAACAAGAAATGCCCATAAAAAGGGCTACAAAATATAGCGCGCTTTGTTGCTGGGCCGCTAAAAATACCCAAAAAAAAAAGAGAAACAACAACAATGGCAACAACAATAACAACAGCAGCAGCGACGCACAGTTGACCCACTTAAATTGGCAAGAGAAACTGTAAATGAAACCGAGCCAATGCCAAAGCCGACCGATCAAAGCCGACGCTCAGCCGAAGTCGTTGGCTGTGCTAAAAATAAACCGTGCGCCAAATTCTGCTGCTCCTGCACTGCCTTCTCCCTTTCTCTCTTTGCCCTTGCAGCTCCTTCTACGCTTTATCAGCTGCAGCAGTGAAAGTGACAGCGAGATACACAAAGTTATCACACGCATATATTGCCGCTGTTATTGGCTGCCTAGCTTTAACTGTTGTTTTATTCATTTCATGTTTTGCCTGGCACCAAATTCTCTGACTCCTTCGCTGTCTCCCTTGCTCTTCATTCTGCTCTTACTCCTGCTTCTGTAACAGTGAAAGTGACAGACAGATAGATGCTTCAAATTATCTCACTCATATATTTTTGCTCTTATTGATATTTAAAATTCTATTTCATATATTTTATTATGTTTCGTTTTTGTTTTGTTTCGTTTCGTTTCACACTAGCTGTATATTATGTATTTTGCACTTCTTTCTATCTTTCATTTTTTTTTCTGTTTTTACAGGCAGGAAATCTCCATTTTTGGGTTTTATTTGCAAAGCAAACGGTAACTTTTTTCAGTTCTTTTTCGTTTTGTTCTCTTTTGTTTATAGCACGCAAATGTTGTTAAATGTTTTGTTTTGTTTATTTTATTTGTAATATCTGCAAAAATTGTGAATGTATTAGATTTTTGCTTGTTTGCCTTGCTTTACGTTCTTAGCGTTATGTCATTTACCCATAAATATTTATTTTCTCACATGCATCCCACCACATGTTTAACCTTTTAGCCAACTTAATTTGTCATTTGTTGATTTCCTTTCTCTCGCTAAAAAAAGCCATCAGTTAAGCAAAACTAACAGCAAACCAAAAATTTCCCAAACATAAATCCTAGAGCTAACAACGCAAAGCAAACAGCAGAGACCAACAAATAAAATCAAATACAAATGCCTAATTAAAAAGCCAAATACGTCATGTTGCCAGCCCGCATGCAGATTTGCAAGTCCTAATTTCGAGTGAGTGTGAGTGAGTGAACGTGTGTGTGTTTGCTTTTGTTGCTATTACTTCACAATTCACATGCAACACAAACACTTGCGCACTTTTCACTTACGCTTCGCTGCCAGCGGCAAACGTAAAGAAAAGCACTGAAAAGAAAAGAAAAGAAAATATTACTTCACTGCCACAGACCAGAAATGTGGTCGTCGTAGACGTCGTCGTCGCATAAAATTTCGCAATAGTTGGTAATTCGCCTAAAAAGCAACAGTTACAAAAACAGTTAAAACTTCGCAAATGAAAGTGAGAGTGAATAAGAAAGCGGAAACTAATGCAAGCGAAACCAAAAAACGAAAACCTTAAAAAAACGACGACCACGGCAACTGGTTTGTGCCGACGGCGTCGGCGCAGACTTCGGTTGAAACTCGTTTGGCTGTAAAATGTGCAAGAAATCAAAGAGCGCGTCGCTGTTTAACAGTGACAGCAGCAGCGCAGCTAGCAGCGCAGCAGCAGCAACAGCCACAGCACGCTCAGCTGCGCCTGCGCAGCGTCAATTGAGCGAAGCTTTTTGTTTGAGTGCGCCGTTGAGTGAGGCGGCGATAAAAATCAGTTGAAAGCTGAAATTTCACTTTCGCTTTTAGCTGCCGCTGGCTGCGCTGTCGTCGAAGTCTGCGCTGCTTCAGCTGCTTCCTCTGTTGTTTGCTTTGTTTGTCCCGCTCTAACGCCTTGCTGTTTGGGTATTTCGCTGCGTTTTGTTTGCCGTTAGACGAGGCGAATGCGGAAATTGATTTTTTATTTTCTTGCCAAAAGATTTGCCCTGTTTTATATATGTATATTATATATTTCTTGAAAGTTTATAGTAAGGCGCATTTAGTATACGCCATGTTGACCCACTTTAAAGCCTGACAGCTGCCTAAGTAGTGCTCAGGCCCTTATCGATTCACTATATGCACTTGACAGTTGCAACAACAAAAAACTACTCTACAAATTAGTGGAAAAACAAAAATACCTAAGCACCCAGCGTTATCAGTGCCATTTGCCATTTGCCATTTGCCGTTGTCGTTGTCGTTGTCTATCTATGATTAATAATAGTTTGTAATAATGATGTGCAATTTGTCCTTGGTTAGCTTTCAAGAACTTAACTCTATGATTTGTGCACTGTAAATTGACATGGACTTTCTTGTTGCAGGCAAATCCACATCGAATAGCAAAGAAATCATCTGCCCCGATGACAAATACAAAGAGGAGGGCGACATTTGGAATGTTGAGGCGCAAACCGCATTTCTTGGCCCCAATCTGTGGGACAAAACCTTGCCCTACGATGCGGACCTCAAGGTAACACAAGTTAGTATCATTATCATCGCTGCGTAGTGGCTGCGTCTGTTTTACTACACCCCAACCCAACCAACCTCCAAAACACACACGAAATTGCAAGCGAAACAGTTAAACACACTCACACACACGCCTATACATACACACGCACACACAGATTAACCCGAGTCTTGGTGCTTAACGTAGTGCGAGAATTGCATTCTCATCATTTTGTATATATATTTATGGTATTTATTAAATACTGTACAGTTTATGTCCCCCATAGCAAATATTGACTAATACAAAATACACTACTCAACACAAATGCTGTATTTATTATACACTAAATGTAATTACATTTCAATTACCAATGCAATTGCATTTTGAAATTTGAAATTTAATTATTTCCTTTGAAAGTGATGGCAGTAAAGGCTTTTTAATTACTTAATTACTGATTTAAAAACTTAATTACTTACGTAATTCTTTTATTAATTTGAGTAATAGAATACGAATACTTTTTTCTGAAATTAAATAATATTCGCAAAACTTAGGCTTGTTTAACATAGTTTCTTAAGTAATTAAAGCCAAAAAAAGTAATTACTCAGTAATTATGCATAGCTAAAATCACTTTCACAGTAATTACGTGAGGCAAATGCAATTACGGCATCTCAGGCTGCATTTTATTGCTGTAATTGAATAGTGCACAAAGTAATTATGCTTGGTAATTGGTAATTAAACACTACAAAACCAAACAGATTTCGTGAAGTGCTGTTAAACTATTGTTGCTGCTGTTTCGGCTGCTGTGTGACAGCTGAGAGAGTTCAATTGTAAACAATTCTTTTTCGTATGCAGTATGCGGACTTGGACGAGTTCTTGTCGGAGAACAATATACCCGACGGCCTGCCGGGCACCCATTTGGGCCATGCGGGCGGCCTCGGCCATCGATCCGATTCCCTGAGCCATGCAGCTGGCCTGTCCCTGGGTCTGGGGAACATAACCACAAAGCGCGAGCGATCGCCGTCGCCCTCGGATTGCATTAGTCCCGACACGCTAAATCCGCCATCGCCGGCCGAATCAAGTGAGTATATGAAGAGGCACACACTCACAAAGAGAAAGAGAGAGGGAGAGAGAATGATAATTTTAATTAACTTTAAATTTGTTACTTAAAAAAAAAAGAAAAATGAAAAAACACAAATGGAATGGACATTGCGCCTCTTTAACTATCGAATATATATTTAATATATAAGCATAAATAATTTTGATATATACTGACGATAAATATACCACATATATCTATATATACCACACATAAATAAGCTATGCATCTAAGAACATATGAACCACATAAGAAATGAAATAGAAAATGTTTTTGCTCATGTCTTATCAAATGCTAAATGTTAAAGGCTGATTTCATTCCAATTTGTGCGAGAATCAAGGCAAATCTTTCAATTTGAGTTTGAATTTGAGTTTGAGTTTGAGTTTGAGTTCGATTCGTGCTCATTTGAATTTTGATTTTCCATATTCGATTTTCGATTTTTGATTTTCCATTTTCCATTTTCTGTTCTGTTTATCGATCTGAAAGTGAGTCCAGTTTGTATTTGATTTGATTACGAGTATAGCACGAACAGTCTGTGAAGAACATTGTTAACATTTAGTATTTGATATTCCAGCATTTTCATTCGCATCGTCGGGGCGGGACTTTGATCCGCGCACCAGAGCATTCTCCGACGAAGAGCTCAAACCGCAGCCGATGATTAAAAAGTCACGCAAACAATTTGTTCCAGATGAGCTCAAGGACGACAAATACTGGGCCCGACGACGAAAGAACAACATCGCGGCCAAACGGTCCAGAGACGCGCGTCGCCAGAAGGAGAATCAGATTGCGATGCGTGCACGCTACTTGGAGAAGGAAGTGAGTAGAGCGACTGATCGATAAATCGATAACATTCATTTATTTTCGCCTCTCCCCAACCTCTAGAATGCCACGTTACATCAGGAGGTCGAGCAGCTAAAACAGGAGAACATGGACTTGCGTGCGCGTCTATCGAAATTCCAGGATGTGTAATGAACATAAATAAAGATGTAAAAATGTGACTTTGAGCGATACGAAATACCACATCAACAATTACATTATAAACAATAATAATAATAATAATACTATTAAACTCTATCGTCTATCGATAACTGACAAAAACAACAAAAATTATGCTAAAATAACTTTTAGTGAAGAGACAAAATGAAAGCAAAAACAATTTATACATGAATCAACATGTATATATCTTACTATATAACAAGTTATATATATATATATAAATATATATTATATTAAGTAAGCACACACACACACATCTACACACACCTACACAGCGGATATTTATTTTAAACTTAACGTAAAACTAAATGCAAAAATAACTAAAAAAAAACATCAAATTGTAACTTAAATTCTTAGTGTAGCGCAAGAAAAACAAACAATGTCTCTCGATAACAAACTATCGATAACCTGTTAAAGAGTACCGTTAGCCGAAGCAAACATGGAAGCCCCTTATTAACTCTAGATTTGTTAATTTTTAATGCAAAAAGAACTTTTGTTATTAGTCTTAGCGAACAGCGATAGAACCCCATATATATACACACATATATCTATCGATAACACATCAACTTCTAGTTTTCTTTTACTCTTTGTTAAGTTTTGTTAGTTAATTTTCTTTGCTTTCCCAAAAAACAACACATAAATCGCGCATATGTAAATAATTTCGTTGCCTATTCTACAATTGACTCAAGTAAAACACCTAAAAACCCAAAAAAAAAATCTACAAAAATTTATATATATATATATATAAAATGTTATTGAATAAAGAAGAAGAAGAAGCAGACGCAGAACCATTTAGAAATGAGCAAAAGAACTTCCCTCCTCAGTTGCCGCGCGCCAAGGGGCAAGGCAACTGTTAGTCTAAGCGAACTATGATTTTTCTTACACACACCTACACACACACTTACATATATCTATATATAGAAACTATATATCATAAATTTGATTATGGTAAACCTATTATTTGATAGTTTTTCTTTGTTATTTGTTGAGAATAAAACTAGACGAAGTAGCAGCCGAATTGCATAACTAAGCGCGCGTATAGTCAGCTGCAAAATATGATTTATAAGTTTTCTAACCGCCCTCGAAGCGCTTTCTAACATTTGCCACATTTGACGTTTCTGCAGTTGAACGATTGGACAAAGCTTTGCATCTGTAAAATTAATATATATATATGTAAATTTCAGAACTTATAGAACCAACCTCTCTACAGACACTTCTAAATAAAATAATAAGCAACACTTTCCACGATATATATGCATATATTTATTATAGTGGTTGCACATGGTCAGCTAATATGATATACTATGCAACTTTTCTGACAACCCTCGTCATTTATGAGACTTCAAATCTTTTGACATTTCGTTAATCAGCTTATTTTGTATATCAAAATGTTCTGTGCATGCAATTAAATGTCAGCTATGCTTGACAACTTTTCAAACCACCCTCGAACTAACTCAAACTTACCCTTCTATGGTAGAGTTCTTACCACTCGACACTTCTATCTATATATGCATACATATTTTGTGCCCCTTTAGTTCATGATATCATATGCTTACAACTTGTCTGACTACTCTCGCACTGCAGCTTCTATAAATTCGAAAACTTTCACAGTTTTGCAATTCTCTATATATATTATTTGTTTGCTAACAGTCAAATGCTGCGCTATGCTTCACAACTTTTCGAACCAACCTCTAGCCCTTAGCTCTATTTTTTATGAAACCTTTCACAATGAATATATATATGTATATATATATATATATATATATTTTTATTGTTTTTTAATTAATTAATAATTTGTTTGGTGTGATTTTGCAAAGATCTTAAATCTTAATACAATTATATATTATGATCCATAATATATTATCATTATTATGATTATGATTATGATTATTATGATTATTATTATTACTGTTTACAGTTTTTAAGTTAAGTTCTATTTTTATTTGTTAAACATTGAGTTACATTTACCTGCAAACCTAGCTAAACTAAGCCTAACAAATAAACAAAACAAAAAAAAACCAGAAAAACCCAAAAAAGAAAAACAACAAATACAACTGAAAATCTAAGAAAAATCAAATAAAATTTTATACAAAAAAAAGCAAAAAACAAAAAAAAACAGACGAAAAAAATTCATTTGGAAATTCTATTTTTTATGCAAATTACAAATTTAAGAAGTTTTATTTATTTTTTAAAAACGAAAAAGCAAAAACAAAAGCGTAGCAAACAAAGCAAAAGCAAAAGAGAAAGCGAAAGAGAAAGAAAACGATAATAAAAATGCTTACAAAAATAATTTGAAATATTTATTATATTTTTTTTGTTCTGTTTTTATCAAATTATATATATGAAGCAATGATCTCAAGAGGAAATACCGAAACTAACCCTAACGACAGGCCGCAGGACATTTGCTAGATAAACGCGTTTATCTCAGATGTTTATCTAGATGACAGTTTGTATAGCGATAATACTAGAGCGAGTTGCACCCAGCGTTTAGTCCAGACAAACTTCCAACAATCGAATCCTAAACCTAACCTAACCTTAAACAAATAAAAGCCTTTTGCACTGCTAAGAAACCACCTAGACAGAGAGAGAGGAGAGCGAGAGAGAAAATAAAAGAAAAACTAAAAAAAAATAAGAAAATGGAAAATTATAGAAAATTCGTATCATGTCAAAGTTTTGAGCTTCGGTTGTTTTGTAAAGTTACACAGATATTATACGATAACGATAACGATAACTACAGTAGTGTACTTCGATTAACTTCACAAACTAAGCAATTGCTACATATATTTGTACTATATATACATATATATATAGTCTAAACAAAAATCGTGTTATATTTATATAAAAATATTTATGTCTAAGATACAAAATGCGCATAGAGGTGAAAAACTATAGAAAAACTATAGAGAAACATAGGCAAAAATGATATGCATTAAGTGTGTAGCCCCAGCGACTGTGGACGAGTGCTGGCTCAAGCTGCCAGTGAGACCAGCCCAGAGAAAAAAACAGCTAAATACAAAATTAAGTATTTCAATTTGAGTTTTTGTTTGTCTGAAATATTAAAAATGTTGACAGTTTTTTAGTGCAATTTAAAGTGGTTCAAGTATACAGAGCTTAGCAAAAAGTTAATAGTTTTTGATATTTGTCAAATGAGTTTGTATTTAATATATATATTTTGTGTATGTCTAGCTCATTTTCAATGTTTTACGAATAAAGTTAAAGTTTTGGCAGCTAATTTGTGTACCTCAAATTTGTAGCATACTTTTGTGCGCGGGACATAAATACTCACAAAATGTAAAATTTTTGGTTAAGAAATATAGCATACTTCTAGGCAGTAAAATTCCTTCATTTATACCCAATTCGTTTAAATTAAATTAAATTATATTATTTATGGTTTAAAAAAAATACTTAAAATTTTTAAAAATTCTTTAAAATATCTTTAAATTTTTTTTGTGCTAAATTATTAGTCTAGTCTTAAGCATGGCCAGCGCGCATAAAAATATCCACTATAGTAGTGGAAATTAAAAGAGTAAACTCAAATTTAATTAGTTTCAAGGTAGTCAAAAAACTGTTAACAAAATATAAAAATTGGAAAAATTCGTTTATAAATTTTTCATAAATTTAAATTTAAAAATTTTCCGCATTCCCTTGTGAAGTCTTCGTGTGAGCTCACTTAAAAGTATATTTAATTAAATGAAAATAGTTTCGACTAAATTGCTAAATGCCTTAACTATATTTTTAAATCCAATTGAAAATATTATTAAAAATTAAAAAAAAAACTTTAATTATTTAAATTTAAAAAATAGTTAGCATACTTTTGGGCTGCACTGTTTGAGCAGCTGCACCTCAGTCCCTGCCGCAGTGGGCTAAGCACACAATAACAAAAAAAAACGATCCACAAAAAATAAAAGAGAAGCAGAAGAAGAAGATAAAATTATACACAAGTTTTTATGCAACGAGTTTGTTGTAGGCTCCAAATTTATTTTGTTAGTGATTGAAACATTAGGTTTTTAGAGGATGCAGAGGAAGAGGAAGAGGCAGAGGCAGACGATGAATATGTATTAATATTTCTGATAAGAATGTTCCGTAACAAATTGTAGACTTTAGCAACAAACACAAGACGATAAAACTGAAAGTAAAAAGAAGAAAACTAAAAAAATAACGAAATTATGTTTAATTTATATATATATATATTATATAATTATATATATATGTATATGTGGAGCTGCATGTTATTATATAATTATAATTAGTTGATGAAACTTTTTGTAGATAAATTCAATATTGTAGCTGATGATTTTTTATATATATACAGACATATATATATATACATATATATACTAACAGTACTTATATATATAGTATATAAACTATAGAGCAATGAAGCCATTGCATAATCGTAATCGTAGGCAGGGTTAAAGATAGTAACTAAAGACACAAATTGTTGCAGTGCAAAGCGGAAGAGAAAAAGCTAAAAACAAGCTTAAAAAAAGCTAAAGATGCGTATATATAAACATATATATATATATGTGTGTGTGAGTGGGTATTACATCTATCTAAACGAGCGAGAGAGTCGAACATATTAAATGCTATATACATATATATATATATAAATATATATATATATATATATATATATATAAATACATTATATATATATTATATAATATACATATATACACATAAATACTATTATATATATATATTCTTACATAAAAAACCAAACGTTGTTGAATTTTAAAGATCAATAAGCATAAAATACCATAAAAAAATAAAGTAGTAAAAAAAATACTTAAAAAATTGTTAGTTGTTGCAAAAAGAAGCTAAGAAAACTGGCTTAAATTAAAAATGAAAAAGTTAAACAAAACACACACACACTGACACACACACACAGTTGCGTTTTGTAGAGCCTTTAATTTGGAGAATTTTTGGGCGAATGCAAATAACTTTTATATACGAAAGCGAGTTGAAAGCGGAGCAGCAAGTAGAGAAGTAAACGTAAATAAAAGGCATAAAAATAAACAG